ATCAACAGAGTTATGGGAATGTGTCGCTGGATTGACTACTGATGAGATTACATTTTCAACAGTTATGAAGATGGGGTCGCACATTTCTTTCGGTGCTTTGGGGATCAGAAAATTCTGGTAAGTGGGGATTAAAAATGGGAAGATTTGTAGTTAAATAGCTGTTTCCGTATTACCAAAAGTGACCAAGATGGAGTCTGAATTTGACCACAGGGTAGGCTGGGGTAAGGGTTCCAAGAGGCCAGCGGCACTGGTGCCTACTTGGTTGGGATATTGCTATACGGACAGTATCCACGGAAACGGTCAAAAACCATGTATTTTTGTTTGCGAAAGCCGGCAAATTCAAAATAAACAAGTTTGATCCGAGTGCCATAAGATAAACTAATCACTAAATTCGCTTGTTCAAGCCATACTGGGGAATAATGATCCCCATAAGGTTCTGGGATATGATTATCATCCCTCCTCATTCTCGGTCATTTCTCCACAGTCCTCCCTTTGTACTCTCTTAACGACCACTGATTCCCTCCGTTTACCCAAAGAACCATGTGACACCCCCCTAAAATACTCCACGCTCCCCCCTTCAGTCGATAAATAATGAGTGGTTCTTATGTATTTTACGCGCATGTAATTGTAAGCGTGGGTGTCAGACGTGTCGCTGGTTTATTCATGTTTGGTCCTAAAGGAAACGATAATTCGTCCGAGACGTCCCCCTATATCTGCATGACAACAGTGATAGAACCAGCTGTTAACTAAAATACAAGTTGTCTCCGAGCCAAGACTTTCAGAAAACCCATTTAAAGTCAACAAAAACTTGCATAACAATTTACTGTTTTTTTACTGCCTTGAAAAGAAGTTTAGTGCAAAACTCATTGTTCGCTGGCGAGGGCTTATAACGAAATTAAAATAGGAGTAAATAAGGTGTCCGAAAAAATTAACAGTTGAAGATAGTACACCTGCACTTAAAATACTAGAAACTTCCATAAAGAAATAAAAGCCCGAAAACTACGGCAAATCGACGTATAGTGAGATGTATGTCACTTGTGACAAGCAATTAAAATCTACTTTTTTCATAACAGGCAAATTTGCAAGCTCTGCGTTGACAACTGCGGCCTTATAATTACCCTCCGAGATGCAAGGAGACTACCGACTAGCCAAAAATTCACTACTTTGACTTAGAATGAACGGAAAACAGCTGTAATGGGAAACACAGCCTCAATTTTAGCGAGCAACCGCGAATATTCCTACTGAGAAGATGGGGTGCCTTTGCAATGTCTTACTCAGTTACGCTGCCAAATTTTAAATGAAGCGCTACACATCTTAAGACTTAAAACTGGGATGTGTATCATTCGCACTCAATCCGAAAGTTAAACAAATTTTCGAAAGATATTTCGCCATTCGTGAGTTCGCTCCTAACTTCTCAAGTCTCTATTTTGTTAACGCACTGAATAAAAATAAAGAAATTTGTATCCTTCAAGTAAATATTCTAGACAGTCTATCTGTCCTTATATGGATTTGTATAAAAGACCTTGGCTTGTATTAAAAGTAAATACAGCTAAAACAAAGAAGCATTTAATATGAGATTTGAAAAAACAGCAAGATAATACTTTATTCGAAGATTTGAATATAACTTGAAGCGAAAACTTAAAATTATTTATATCTATTAGAGATCAAGAACGCGCAAAAAACCTCAAATCATGATCTTGCTTCCACCGCATGCAAATTACGATAACCAACCACACACTTATTAGCATAACTTATTTCTATTGTTTCGAAACGCCTAGTTTTTCCGTGGAGTAATTAGTAATGCATGCAGTTTATTCATATATTTTGTTCTTTCAAGTTGAAAAAGTTTACCGTGTAAGTGAAGCGGTTGTGTTTTCCTTTAAAATGAAAGAAA